GAAGCTGGGGTACTGGCAACTCCTGCCACTCTGCCCATAGTATACAGCAGGCCAGGCTGTGATCCTTCTTTTCCCTTGTCTTCATGGCTAGAAGATATGCAGGGAACTCAAGGCCATCTCTCTCTGCTAAATTAAAGAGTAACTAGTTCTAACATGGGTCCAGCTCCTTGGTAGTTTAGCAACAAGCTGCTGTAGGGTCTCAGTTTGCTGTACATTTCTGCCTTGATGGTTGAGGAAGTCAGAAGGCTCAAATACAGCTATAACTCAACATTGATCATCGGGGAACAAGGCTGGCTGATAAACCTGTGTTTATTAGGGAGGGAAACCTTGCTCTGCAGCCTCCTGCAGCCCCCTCACATCCTATTGGCTATGATTTCTATTGCAGGCCCATGTGATAGCAGGGTCAGACATGGGCACTTCTGAAGTAGCAAGTAAGTCAGCAGGGAGGGAAGAAGAAGCTGGAAAGATGACTGTACCTGCAGTGCTGGCAGATGACAGTGGTTTCTCTGTGGGATGCTGATGATAATACAGCATTACTGGCTTGTTTAGAGCAATCAGGGTTATACAGGGGGAAGGTTCCTGACAGGTGACCCATATATGTCCCACTGACATTACATCTGTCCAGATGTTTAGGAAGAAATGTGAATGTCCTTAGGTGGGGCTTGTCCTCTCCAGTGTGGCTGCAGTCTCCACCATGCCCTGTTCTGTACTTTGTTGCTTCCCTCAGTTTGCTATCGGCCTGGTCCTTCAAGGCATTTAGGCTTGCAAGCCCTGAAGTAGTATCCATGTTGAACTAGTTTATTCTTGCATTATGCATTTTGAGCATGGACATCTTAATTACAAAGAAAATCCTTTATTTTCTCAGTGGACTTAATCATGACTTTGGGGAGTTTGGGATCTAGATAGTCCCATCCCCCCTGCTTTAGTCCCCTCTGAACTTTCTGAGAATCACCATGAGAGGTACAGGCTGGCTGTAGAATGGCTATCTGGCCCTTGGCAGTGTCTGTGTGTCCAGAGCTGCTTTTGGAAGACTGGATTTCTCCCTATAACACTAGAGCCTGTACAGTCTGCATAGTGTTTCCTTTGTATTATGGACACCCTCATCAGTTAATTAAAAACCAAGAAAACAAAGGAAAAACCAAAAGTACTCCATTTCAGTGTTTATAGATCACATGTTCATGGGACCTATAGTGGTTTACATTCCCCTTGACATCCATCTTTCTGTTAATTTGAAAGTTGTTGACATTCTACACAATTCCATATGCATTACCAATTTCTTTTCTTCTTTTTCTTTCTTTCTCATTTGTTTCCTTAAAAAAAAAAATCCAACTGCTTTCTTGCCTTGAGATTTAAATTCCAAGTTTTGGCTGCCTTGGATTCCAAGTTTTCTGAGAAAAGGCTTAAATTTATTAGGTTAGTTCACAATGTTCTCATAGAAAACTTTGAGGCATGGAACCATATGTGGTTGGGGTGTGTTAAGATAAATAATGTAAGAGAATCAGTATTACATCCTTCACAGAAACTCAGGCTATGCCTGTGGCTTTACAAGTGTGATTTACAAGTGTGGTCCATGGTGGGAGGGGACAGGGTTGGGGTGAAAGTTCATATCAGTGTTCCCACAGTTTCATGCTCTATTGATGGCACCTCTGAATGAGTGCAGAATCAGATGGGCACAGTGGCCACTGGAGGAGCCTCCAGGAAGCTTACTTTATTTAGGAATTATTCCCCATCACCCTCCCAGGGTCTGGCTTCTCAGCAGCATTTAAGAATAGAAAGTAAAGAACAGGTTGGTTGACAAACAGGTCTTTGCATGAGAGATTGAATCTTAGCAGTTGGGGGGAGGCTTGGTTTGGCTAAGTCACTGGTGATACTCACATTTTATATATTTACCTCTAAAGAGGCAACACAAAACAGAGAGGGTCTCCTTTTAAAATAAAAATTATTTTCTTAGTTAAGCCTAACTTGGAATGTGTTCATGATTTTTTAGTGTGTATGTGTGTGTATAATTTGTCTATAGATGCACACATATTTATTATACATACATGTATAAACACACAGACACTGATGTAAACGTAAGCTGCTGGCAGCTGAAGGCAACTTATCACAGTTCACTGCAGAACATTGATTTCCAGATGTTTGGATTTCACGAACTAGGAATATAAAAAAACAAAAAAGAAATTGGGGGGTGCTGGTATCCAGCATGAAGTGCCAGCTCTGTTTTCTAAGATCATTAGCAAATTTTTTTTGTTGTTGTTGATGGCTGTTAGCTAACCTCATCATGGTGATCACTTTGCAATATATACAAATATCAAATCATTACGTGTACACCTGAAACTCCTATAATATATGACAAGTATATATAGCTCAATAAGTTTTTTTTAAAAGATTTTATTTATTTATTATAGACATAGAGAGAGAGGCAGAGACACAGGCAGAGGGAGAAGCAGGCTCCATGCAGGGAACCCGATGCGGGACTCAATCCCGGGTCTCCAGGATCACGCCCTGGGCCGAAGGCAGGCGCTAAACCGCTGAGCCATCCAGGGATCCCAATAAGTTTTTCTTAATTTCAGTAAAATACACATGCAATTTATTATCCTAGCCATTTTTTAAAAAAGATTTTATTTATTTATTCATGAGAGACACAGAGAAAGAGAGAGAGAGAGAGGGGGAGAGAGAGAGAGAGAAAGGCAGAGACACAGGCAGAGGGAGAAGCAGGCTCCATGCAGGGAGCCCAACGTGGGACTTGATCTCGGGTCTCCAGGATCACACCCTGTGCTGAAGGCGGCGTTAAATTGCTGAGCCACCCGGGCTGCCCATCCTAGCCATTTTTAAGTGTGCAGTTCAGTAATGTTAAGAACATTCACATTGTGCGATACAAGATCATTTTGTGAAAAGAAAAAAAATAGAGCAGACAGAAGGACCCCCATGCACTATCCTCATCGTTTCATAGAGACACCAAAAGGGAAATGAGGATGGAAGACTGTCATCTTAGATGCAAGAAATTCCTCTCGTGGCAGAATAGTACGGAGAAAAATGCCACCAAGTATCAGTAGCTGATACTTTCACAAGACTTTGTTGATGAAGCTATGTGTTGGTTTACATCCCAGTGCAAGCATTTTATTATTAGTGGCCAAATGCCAATGCAAGCAGTTAACATACTGGCGCTGGTCAGCAACCCTGTTCTATATCTGGTTGTGTTTGTTTTTTGAAAATTTTAAAAATTTATTTATTCATGAGAGACAGAAAGGGAGGCAGAGACAGGAAGAAGCAGAGCAGGAAGCCTGATGTGGGGCTTGAACCCAGGACCCTGGGATCACAACCTGAACTGAAGGCAGATACTCAACCAGCTGAGCTATCCAGGCACCGTCTGGTTCTTTTTATAAAAGTAAAAATTGATAGTTATGGTGGAAGCCCATATAATAGTCATTCCACTCTGATCCTGTTCCCTTCTCTGTCTCCTCAAAACTTTTGTACTGAAGGTGGTTTGTATTCTCCAAGTCAATACCATATTGGCATGAGCCCATTAGCAATGTCTAGTGCTGTTTTGTGTAATGGAATCCTGTCGTATAGAGCTCTTTGAAACTTAATTTGGTTTGTATAACGTGATCCATTTTGATATGTGTAGATCTGCTTTACTGTATTGCTTTATTTGACTATATACCACATTACATTTATCTGTCCTTTTATCAGTGGATGTTTAGGTTGTTTCTGTTTTTTTGCGGATACAAACAATAGTGCAGTGCTCATTCCTGTCATTTCCTGTGCATATTAATGGGAATTTATCCAGGGGAGTTATCTGAGAGAAGAGTTGATGGGTCAAAGGTGAATTGGTGTCTTCATTCACAAACTCTAATTATTAGTGTGTTAACCAACCTCACTGTTTAGCATAGCTTTTCAGGTAATAGGGAATGGGAAAGATAATAAGTCAGCCATTAATAAATTTGGTTTTCTGGACTGAATTGAGAACTGGTGATTATTGATCTATCTAAAGGTTCAGTTCAAAGTCTGTCTATAATCAAGGGATGACCTGGCAGGTTGGTTAGAGTGTTTTCTTCATGTGCTTGGATATGGGACGGTGACTGGCAGGGAGAAGCCAGCCCTTCAATAAGTTTTCCTCTTTCCATGTGAACTATAAAATGTTTGCAGTCCTGATGTGGGAGGCAGATGAAACTGGGTGTTTCTGTCTCTTGAGTTTTGTTACACATGGCTTTTTTGGTCTAAAAAAATCCTGTGGGCCCAAACTTGGCCAATGTGCTTTGACAAATTTCTCAGCAGGCCTTTCTGGAGTGGCCTTGCTGTTGCTCAGTGTCAGATGATCTGTTTCTTTCGACTGTGTCTAGTCTGTGGTTTCCTTGAACAAGTTGGGGAGATATTCAGGGGAAAAGTGGACCTAGGTTCCTCTGGAGTCGGATGCCAGAAGTCTAAGAGAGCTCCCCATGGCCAGCATCCCTGTGTAGCCATCATGCGGCTTACTAGGAGCACTTTGGGGTTTTGGATGTGGGTAAGTTCAGCCTCAAAAAACAAAATTGAGACGATTTCTGAATGTGCATAATGTCCTTTTTATTCAGAGCCTTCTCTCTTACCTCCAGCGAATAAAGGAGTGTGTTGATCACTCTTTAGAAAACAGTGGGAAAATAACTTGGTTAGAGAAAGCTATAGAGACATCAGAGGAAAAATAAATAAAAGCCTTTTCACTTATAAGGTTCTTCTTAGCCTGTCAACGAAGTCTGTTGGTTGACCATTTTCAAAGAGCATGTGGCAAGATGAGTTATGAGTGGGGAAGAGTCCGGAGAGATCACACGTGTGACTAACCTGTGTTAACAGTTCAGGTGCCTATTTGACGAACATTTTGCAGACCATTTGGCATATCTGAAACACTGTGGCATATCAGGTTATCAGAAGCATTTTCAGTGGTTGCTGGGTGTAAAGTAATTGGTGTTTTGGATATGCAGGCACATGTTTACATTTGTAAAACAAGTCTTTTTACTTTTTATAATCAGTTGTCAAAGCTTGAAAAACAGCAGCAGAGGAAAGAAAAGACCAGAGCCAAGGGGCCTTCTGAATCAAGCAAAGAAAGAAACGCCCCCCGAAAAGAAGACCGCAGTGCCAGCAGTGGGGCAGAGGGTGACGTGTCTTCTGAACGCGAGCCGTAGACTTAGGGATGAAACTCAGGTAGGAGCCTCCCCTCCTTGCATAGCCCCATCTTCTCACATTTTGGGCAAATGGTAACAAAGAGAGAACAGAATGGCTTTTGCAGCAGAAATAATTTTATGAGCATTCACCCATAGCTTCCTGAAATCTCCTGCTTTTCCGGATGAAGAGAAAAGTGGAGGTGTGGGCAGAGACCCATGGACCTGGGGTGTTCTCCTTCCTCACTTACCTATGTTGGTCGACAACTGCTGCTACCATGAACATTTCCACAGTGCTCATAGATGTGCGATCCAGACTAGGAGCCTTGCACAGGCCCTTCCTTGCCATGGCTCCATCCTCTCCACTCCTGCTCTCAGCAGTTGCAGTGGGGGCCACAGTCACCTGCAGCCTCTTCCTTTCATAGCTGCCTGCCTCATGTTCTTCCATCCTTCAGTTCATCCTTCTTAGTACCAAGTGCACTCCTAGTTTCCCTTTCCTAAGATAGGGCTTCATTCTTGTCACTTCCACACCCAGGAATGCATCTCAGTTCACTGTAGCATTAAGTCCATTTTCCTGCCTGAAGGTCAGAGGCACCTAAAGCTTGATCCGGCCATCTGATGGCCCTTTGCTCATGTTCATTTCCCCAGTGGGCACGTTATTGAGAGCCTCTTACTTGTCAGAGTTCACAAGTTCAGGAAGAAGCATAGAAATCATTAGACAGCAGGGTGGTTTGTTGTGGAAGTGGTGGGAATGTGGAGGGGGAAGTTGGGGAAGCTCCACAGAAGGCAGGACCCCAGAACCCGACCTCAAAAGACATATGGAAATGGGCAGATGAGGGGCGAGGGTGGGAGCTGTCTCATCTAAAAGGAGCAGATGCAAACACTGTTGAGTGTGGGACGAGGACAGAGTTTTGGAACAGAGGTCGAGAAGAATGTCTGAAGCCCTGGGTACAAGTGGGGGTGGGGTATCTGGGAGCTTCCATAAAATTAGAGAAGTAGGAGAGTTCTGGGTTATAGGGCTCCAGTGTGCAGCTGGAAAATGTGGATTTCATTCTGAGATGGCGGGGAACCTCTGGAATGGTTCAAATGTACAAGTGACATAATCAGGTATGAAGTTTGAGAGAATCACACTAGCAGCTGTGGGGAGTGAGGCTGGAGCCAATAGGCCAGTTAGGAGACATAGCAGAAATCAAGAGAGAAGTGAGGTCTGGCTATACATGTTGGAGCCTTAGCCTTCAGCTTATATATAGTCTGTGGTTCATACCACGTCAGCATCTGGGTTCATCCTGGAGATGTTGAGTGGTGAGAGAGGAGAACACTCCTCAGATGGTTTTTGGCCTTCTCTTTAGGCCATCTGTGAAATGACCTTTAGGATGCATATTCCCAGGCACTGAGCTCTATACTACAGAGTCAACAGTGATAACTGGGTGCTGTGTAACTGGCTTGCAAGTACAAACAGACCAAAGCAACAGAATAGAGAGCCCAGAAAGATTACATTGTTAACTCACTGGTAGTTTTAAGGGGAGGGAGGCACTGGGTAATAAATCCAGTAATGTTCTCTTGACTTCTCCTCTAATCATTCTCTTTCCTACCCTGTATCTACGGGGAGTGGCCACAGGTCTTGGTTGATTTTTCTCACACTCATATGAGTGTGAAGCAGGAATCAGAGGCAGGTTTTTTCTCACTTACCCTCATTTGTCACAGTCACAAGCCCTTCCTGCGCCTTTTTCTTGGTCTGGATCTAAAGACATCGGTTTTTATTCATGAACTGAAACAGTTGGTATGAGTTAGGGAGAGTCTTCTGAAAAGTGCTACGTGGTATCTAAATAATGTTAAATACTCACGAATACACAGTAACATTTTATGTGGCATTTGCATCAAATAAAACTTCCATTCCCACCCCTTCAAAACTTTGTGATGATTTGCTCATATCAGTGGTCAGTTTTGTCATCACAAATATTGCTGGTGCTTCTGACTTACAGTCTGAACAGAAACCCTGAATCTGAAGGGTGAACTGTGTTATACAAAGACAGTGCACACAGTGGCTCTTTCAGTGAATTTTATAGTTGTGCTCATTAAGTGGGTCCAGCAATAACTCAGAAACTCATTGACTTCTTATTTCCATCCTGATGATTTCTGTGGGTCAGTAAGTTATATAATTTTTGCTCCTTGGTGTTTTTCTTTATTAACTAAAAGAGTAAAATTCATCCCCTTCGCCAGTAATGTTGTAAAAAGCAGGCAGGTAGAGTCATAATACCTTGGTGACTGACTGTCCCAGCAGGCTGGAGTGGGAGGGGCAGGTAGAAGAGGACTCTACCCATGTTTCTATGGCACTTCTTGTTAAGCCTCCCCTGCCTCCTAGGGATCGTGTTGGAGAGAATGCCCTGGCACCCACTCCTGCCCCTGGAAGAAGGATGAGGGACTGGCTAATCTGATGGCCAGGGAATGACATGCATTATAGTGAGTGGTTCCTTGGTTCAGAAGCAAAATCCAGACCCCACATTTTCTATTTCTACTCCCTGGACTGAGGGTAGCCACCCAGCCTACAGGGTGTTTTACCTCTTGGCCCTACTCTAACACAGCACCGTGTGTTTTCCTTTTAGTTTTTAGATTATAAATAATAAGAGCTTCTTCCCAGTGAGTTTTAGGACCTTACAATAAATTTTAAAAAATTGAATTTTCAGACTCCTATGATAAGCTCAATGAATAGAAAAGGAATAAATATATAATTATTTATTTCCTAGTAGCCAAACCCAGCTTAAGAACATAAACACACACACCAATACACACAAATTCAAACGTGCCTTGAATTTTCAAAATGGCTTTAAAAAATTCTTATGCCACATAGTTGATTTCTTTCTTGATTATATTGTCAACCTGCTAATATATTTTATAAATTTAATGTCTTGGTTTTTGATGTAACTTTTTCTATTCAGTACTTTGAGTCTTTGTTTTCTTTATTGAACGATTTTGAATTCTGCTTTTTATATCATGTAAAACATAGTTTTCTATTTGTGTTAGATTTTGGCCTCAGAATGATTCCAGTAGAAAGGTATCCAGGGCATTATTATCCTTTGCTTGTGGGCAGTTTGGAAGTGATTTTGCCATTTCTGTGGGGCAAGAAAAACACCCAGAAACACCCAAATGCGTAGAGGAAGAGACAGTAACTGTGTATCACAGAACATCCTGGAAGACATGTTCACAATAGAAAAACCGCACACAATAAAAAGTGGAAGAAGTGAAAGTGGGCATTTCTTTTCCACATCTCCCAAAATTTAAGAGGCAAAATTTTTCATGGACTTGTAGGTATTTATTTTTTGCTTTTCTAAAATCAGTGGAAAAGTTAAAAACCTGTAATCATATTTATTCTCAAGGTATTGCAGATTGGGTAGTGTAGATCTTGGAGTAAATTATGCTACAGTTGACCCTTGTACAGCATGGGTTTGAACTCTATGGGTCCCCTCATCATGGATTTTTCAGTAAATATATTGGAAAATTTTTCAGAGATTTGCAACAATTTGAAAAAGCCCACAGGCAAACCCCATAGCCTAGAAACATAAAAAAATTAAGAAAAAGGCATGTCATGAATGCATTAAATATAGGTAAATACAGTCTATTTTATCTGTTGCTACCATAAAATACACATACATCTATTATAAAAAGTTAAAATTTATCAAAACGTACAGAAATACTTAACAGACTATATATGACACCATTTACAGTGGAGAGAAATGTAAACGAATGTGAAAATGCAGTATTAAATCATAACTGCATAAAATTAATTATAGCACATGCTGTATACCACCATAATCATTTCCTAGCTACCTCCTGTTGCTATTGGCATTGAACTCATGTGTCATGAGTATCCGTTTAAAATGTCATGTGACAGTAATCATCTCCACTTGAGCAGTTTGTCTCTGCAGTAAATTGTGGATTGTAGTAAAAAGTGATCCCTCGCAGTTCTTGTATACTTTTCATAATGTTGAGTGCAGTATCCTAAACCTTGAATAACACCGTGGGATCCATCCAGGGTGCCACTAGTGGTGCTCGAAGTGCTCCTAGGAAGCAGAGAAAAGTCATGACACCACAAGAAAAAGTTGAATTGCTTGATTCATACTATAGAGTAAGGTCTGAAACTGCAGTGCCCACCATCTCAGGATGAATGAATCCAGCGTCAGGGATGTTGTAAAAAGAAAAAAAAAAAAAAAAAAAAAGGAAAGGAAATTCAGGAAGGCATTGCTGCAGCTATGCCAGCAGGCACGGAAATGTTGCGCTTTTTCTCTCATATTGGAAATGCAGCTTTTATGTGGGTGCAGGATTGCTATAAGAAAGGCATACCTATAGACTCTTAAGATGATTTGAGAAAAGGTGAAATCATGCAACAGCTCAATGCAAAAGGAAAGTGAAGGCTCCAACACTGGAAAATTGAATGCCAGCAAAGGATGGTTTGATAATTTTAGAAAGAGGTTTGGCTTTACAAATGTCAGGGTAACAGGAGAAGTAGCTTTTGCTGACCAAGAAGCAGCAAACAAGTTCCCAGACACCATTGAGAAGATCATTGAGGAGAAAGGATGTCTGAACAGGTTTTTAATGCAGGCAAAGTACCCTATTCTGGAAGAAAATGTCCCAAAGGACATTTATTAGTAAGGAAAAGAAGCAAGCATCAGGATTCAAAACAGGAAGGGAGAGGCTGATTGTTGTTTTGTGCAAATGCAGTTGGGTTTATGATCAGGGCTGCCCTTAAAGCTGCTAAACCTCCCCCCCCACCAGTCCCCCCACCCCCAGCTTTGAAGGGAAAAGATAAACACCAGCTGTTCTTTTTGGTTGCATAACAAGAAGGCCTGGACAATGAGAACCCTTTTCCTGGATTGGTTCCATTGGTGCTTTTTTCCTCAAGTCAGGATATACCTTGCCAGGAAGGGATTACCTTTTAAAAGTTCTTTTGATATTGGACAATGTCCCTGGCTACAGAATTATGTGAGTTCAACACTGAAGTTGTCAAAGTGGGCTGTGGTCTCCAAACACATGGTCTCTGATTCAGCT